AAAAAAAAAAAAAAAAAAAAAAAAAGAGAGAGACAGGAGGAAAGGCGTCGCAGGGATAAGAGATAAGAGCTCAGGGTGGAATTCTTAGCGCCGGAACGGGACAACAAGGAGGAATCTACTCCGAGAAACCTTTTAATGAATTAGCTGATAGCAACGCCCGAGAATTACGCCGTGGCACGGTACCGAGAAGAGCTTGTCTACAGGGTGAACTGCTTAGAAATCATCAGGCAATATACAAAGAGTTCGCGATGACTAATCCCAATGCATGTGCCTCATTCTGTTACTCAAATTCGAGGGCTTACTAAATTGTCGGACCTGGTTAAAAGATTTCAAAAATTTACGTAGACCTCAGTTTCTAGACCTGGTTCTGGACCATTTCGTAAACTCCTGAGACGATAGTGTTCAGGATATATATATATATATATACACACATATATATCAACCCTCGTTAGTAACTCTTCGAGTGGCTCACCAGCCCTGGCCACTCGAGGTTGCCGCAGGAAGGAGCTAAGTGAACATCAAACTATCTTCGCAGTGGGACGTTTCACTGCGTGTTTTTTATGCTTTCGCTTTTCTCCATTTTTCAACATCTCAACTGTTTTAGAACGTCGTGCGCGGCGCGTCTATCCGGGACGTACGAAATGCGCGCTCGTAAATGGGAGACTCGCATTTAATTTAAGATCAACGCTATTCGATAGGTGTCAGAAATGTTTAAGAGTCTGCTTAGATCAGGTATGTAATTTCACACCGAGTTGCGGGGAGTCAGCATAGGAGGATGCGGTCAACAAGGGGCCGCCGCCGCGTGCGTGTTTGGTATAGGAGCATAGGTGGGTGCCGCCTTGCATCAGATTTCCGTAAAAAACGCATGCGGTTTTCTTAAGTAAAGACACCGAAGAGTATAGTTTTAGACCTGCTTTACGATTCTTCTCGTATTACCGCGTTGAACTCTGCAAACGTCGACGCTTCACTGTCCTTCCCAATTCATCCGCAGGACATTCCATTTCAACAACCGAATAACAGAACTCGAGTCTTTTTCATGATCTCAAAAGATAGCAAACAACACGATAGAATTAAAGAATGATCCCAGTAAAAAAAAAAAATTTTTTTTTTCCAACCCGTCAAGCATTTTAATAATCTTTAAAAAAAATAATCATAAATAATTTTCATATTATGTATAACTCCGAACAATAGTAACTTCCCACCCCGTATTGTTATCCGCAAACGATTAATTCCTCTTAAGGATATTACGTGTCTTTTGACACACGAGGAACGTCCGACCAAGCTCGTTTAAGGGTGTTTGCACAAAGTGGCGTGAGAGGCGCGTCCTTCGAGCCCCTTTTCGCGTGACGCTTTAATTATATACGCGAGAAACGAGCGCTTAGCGTTAGCACGCCACCGACGGAAATTCTATTATCGTAAACGTCAATTACACCCTACGTGCATGGCCTGACTAACGAAGACGAAGCGTATCTCATTCGAGGCTTTGTGAGAAAGGACATTTCGCGATTCTTCATGACTTCATAAAGAACCGGAGACACAATGGGCCGCCGGGTTCTCGAGTTCGATTTGGTTACGAGCCTGTGCACTATATTTTCAAAAATTATATCTACACCCAGTCACCGTCCGCGATACTTTAGAGTACTCGTTTAGAGGCGCGCTCGTAATGTGCTTTGACGCACGTGGCAATACCAATCGTGCGCGTTTTGCCGCACGACGCCAGACGAGAAGAGATGACGTAGCCGCACGTTGCGTAGGCTTAACAGTGTGCGTTTGACCGATGCGGTTATCCTAAATTATCCCTCCAGCCCTTCGGGCGCAGGGCGTGTTGTGCTGTGAGAGCATGGAACGCATGGACGCATGTTACGTATAAAGCCCGGCATAGATTGTACCGTTGCCTCTGTACAGGGTGATCGCGAAGTGACGATATCCTCCTTTTATCGTAACACGTAAGCGTGGAATTGCGAAATACAATTTCAATAAATTTTATCGTGTGCGACGTTAACACGAAAACCACTTGGCTTCGATGAATTCGAGAGTTTAAATCGATAGTCGAGCAATCGTCTATTCGGGAGATGGACGCAGCGCGCCGATAAGGATGATCGATGGATTCCGAGGATCGTGTACCGAGCACGTGTTATCGGCCATCAGGCAAAACTCGTCGTATTATCTATCAGATCGTTGTGAATATAAACCAAAGGATGCGGGAAATCAGTCCTTCCGCGTGAACGAACCTTAACGTTCGTATACGTATATATATATATATAAGGTTAAATCGTGGCCCGCGATTAGGTAACCGCTCGGCGAGGTTTATAAGACGGCCGTGACTAACCTCGTGATTTTAGATAACACGGCCCTTTAGCTCATGCCCGAGTTTCGAGTTTACCTGTACCACATGCTGTTAAGAGAATACTCAGTTTTAGGGCTATCCACGTTATGCATCTACCTTGTATACCGGGGGTACTAGAATTACGTATGGGCATTAGGCCGAATGTAATTTTCCTGCGCATCCTTAGGTATCTACCATACGTTTTTAATGGACGATAGTAAAACTGTAGTACAGTCGAGATCAGAATGTTTGCGAGAGTAATTTTTCGCGAATAAAAATAAAGTAAAAAGGGTATCGTTAACTCAGAACGGTATCATAGTTGTATACCGGATGGGCAGGTTGTATTGGATGTACTCGGGAAATTCCTAGCACTTTGTAACAGACTATAAATCTCCGAGCGTAAATTCTACTATGGGCGACAGTTGGTACCTACCGTAGTAACACTGCCTATTGGTATAGGGAAGATACCCGTATACCTTCTGTATATTCCGCGTTACGTTACATTGCGTTACACGCACGTAACGACGAGTATTGCGTAACGACAAGCACCGAGAAAGCCCGACAGTCATTTTCGCTTAATGGTTATGCGCCAGGCAGTGTTCTATTGTATGTATACGCGAAGCTCGGAGGAAACGTTAAATTCGATTTCCCGTGAATCCTGGAAGAAAATCCTTCAGGACTAACGTTAATGGCTCTGCGGTCGGCATACACGTTCGTTATATATATATATATATATATATATATACGTTCATATAGGCTCGTATACTATATTGTTACAACCTGATGCTCTTGTTACGTATATACAAGGTATATATTAGAAGTTCCTAACTCTCTCAAGCTGGATGTACCAACGTGGACGTAAATTGAACGGGCTGGAGGGCAGGATGATGCAACGGTGATTCCTTATATGACAAGGATTTTGGATCTGTCTATATACATATATATATAGACTTTATGTATATACATACAGACAGAGTTATATATATATATACAGAAAATATATATATGGCATAAATTTAATATGAGAGTCCTTGAGTAAGTAAGTAAGGATGAATTTTTATTGCGTCTTTATTATTTACAGATGCAGACAGTCGCAAACCGTAAATCTCGGCGGATATAAAGAGAAAAAAGAAAAAAAAAAAAAAAAAAAAAAAAAAAAAAAAAAAAAAAAAAAAAAAAAAAAAAAAAAAAAAAAAAAAAAAAAAAAAAAAAAAAAAAAAAAAAAAAAAAAAAGAGGGAGAGTCGCGACTCGCACGGTGGCTTTAGCGAAATCTCTCGGCAAATCTCCGGCAGATTTTCTTCTCCGCCTTACGAGTTGCCTAGTCCCACGTCCTAGCCGGTTGAACAAGACAAACGCCGACGGTCCCGGAGTTTTCACGAAAAACTTAAGGGCAACCCGTGATCCCTTAACCCCTGTTTCAATTTGTAAAACCGCCCGAAGATTTCCTCGGCCGTATACGGGAATTCAGTTTTCGGCGGCGGATCGGCCCTGGTAGACCCCGGGGATTTCGGTACCACGGAGCACGACATAAATCTGTCAGGCTACGTTAGAACGTACGTATAGAGAGGTCTGGCATCCCGACGAAACTTTTAGCCACACTCGACGTCTCGTACGTCCCGGTTGTCCCCGCGTATCCTCGCTGTACATCAGAGTCAAGAAAGATTCAAGACCTCCGAAGATACCGAGTGGGAAGATAGCGTCACGTCCTGAGAGCATAATGGTTCTTGTTTCGAGCATTTTCATTAGCTTTTAAGCATTATCTATAAGGCGAGGAGGAAAACAGGGCTGTGGCCTTTTAGAGGGTCGCGTGACTGCCGTAAACTCGTCGCTTAATAGAGACGCGAAACGAACCTGTGAAACTGTATAAAGATCGTTCTGTATATACCCCGTGGTCGAAAAATATATACTAATATGAAAGACGTTGGTACTCGTGTGAGATGGTCATAGTGAAACTCGCAATGCATACGTATATATGTATATATAAGAAGAAGGTAATTCCTTTCGGAACTCATCACGTGCAGGAGGAAAAGTAACGTAGATAATTGAATTAGAGGGAAAAGGTACGGACACCCTTTTAGCGAGGCCATTTAACGCCCTCCAATTTTCCAACGTCATATCTTTTCTCTCAGAAGCCGAAAAACATTTGGGACATTCGTTTCAAAGTAGATTGAAACATTAAGGCTCCTCTCTCTCCTCACCGGGAACAAACAGACACGTACAGTCGACCGTCGCGCCCCTGCAGGCTCCCCCACGTACCTAACTTATTTCCTCCTTGTTTTCTCTCATCGTTCTCCTACTGCGTCATTACCCAACGAATCTGTATCCCTGTCCCTTATCCAAGGTCGTACCAACGACGAGGGGGAAACTTCTTTTAATTTTCCCACATCGAGTTTGACTTGCAAAGTGCTAATATTAAAGTTCACTATGGGGACGGAGGGGTTTTACGTTGTTCTTACTGGGGGAACGTTTCTTACGTTGCCTGACTGCCCCCGCCCACCTCGGAGGCGAGACGCTCAGATTAGATTAGACCTTATTAGGCAACGCCAGGTTACCGTCGACGGGTCGACGTAAAACTTTTCAAAGTTTCTCACGTGTAATGCAATCTTTGCAATATTTATAGGAACCGGGAAAACCGCGAGAATGTTCTTTGAATTATGACTTGGCGAAAGTTGCTGGTGTTGATGTTTAAGTATTGCTGTTTTATTAATGACTCGGAGAAATTACCCGAGGACTGACTAAAGCGTTGACAATTATCACCCCACAGCTGCACCAATCTATTCGCAAGTCGAGGGTGTCCTGTACTAAGAGTACATGTGTATTCGGGATTTAGAAGTATATACTTTGTCAGGCCCGTCTTCCTTTATACGTTATACGGAACGTGATCCGAATCCCACACTTCGAACTGACAGGTTTATGGGGTCGTTAACTTTTCAATATGGACGAGTCCCTTCATTCTAACGTTCATTCACGCATTTGGAATTAGAAAGGAAGGACACGGTTTTATCGTCACTTAATTCCACTTGTTCTTGGGAACGGGCTCTATTGCACGAGTATACCTAACGATAGCGTCTACGATCGAGATGTCTCAATTTATCCAAGGAAATCCACTATTTGGATGACCGTGATATGAGAACATTTTTTTTTTAGAATTTCAGAATTTTTTTTTCAAACAAGTTCTCCGCGTGTCGGATATACAGAAAAAGCCACTTACCGTGTCTATCTGGTTTCACTTGAAGAATTCCTTCGCTCTGAATAAAATCAGCGCCGTTGGTCGCCGAGCAGGTATAAAATCCGGAGTCTATCACGTCGAGTCTATTGATCTTTAATCGACTGCCCGCGACGTTTTTGGCTGAGTGCTCGTGAACCTGCGACAGTTTAGAAGAGGAAGGTTCACTAGGGGTGTGACAACAATCTCGCATAAGGGTCGCTACGCATTACAGGATTATTCGGGGATAAATCGATTGATAGGGATCGATAGATCCTACTTATACAGATCACTTGCTAGTTCCGATACCTGTGAATGGATCTTGCGAATGATCACTCTCCCTGGCTCCTCTTGAACCGGTGCCAAATTCTTCATCCATCGTATCTTGGTAGGTGGTGGATCTCCGACAACTTCACAACGCATGTGTGCCACCCCACCTGTCTCTTTGGTCATATTCATTGGGGCTCTGACAAATTTCAAAGTACCCGTCTTGGTACTGGATGTGGCGTCCACGTCGGTTCTGAAAAAAAAAAACAAATTATAAAAATCAGCAAGAAATGAACATGAGAACCGTAACAACAGGAACACCCGTTACGTAGCTCGGTTGGCTCACGTGTATCAGTACGGACGAAGCAAATTGCATCGGTAGGAAGTAACCGATGCGCAATCTCGAGTGGAAGGAATATTTTTCGTTTCTTCGATTTCTCAAATTATACCCTGCTTACTCGCCAGGAGTGTTGAGTGCGTTGTGTATACAATACGTACACCGGGTATATAAATAACGACAATGTAATAATCTCAGAAACTCGAATCGACAGGATAATTGACACTGGGTATATAAATAACCCAATCGACCCTCGGCAACAGCAGCCGATAATACGCATTGAATAAACCTCAAGACAAGGAGATGAAATTTACAGTACGGCGGATCGGAAAATATCTTTAAAAAATTAACACCCTATACAGTACTGGACTTTTATGATACCACTGATAACGACTATCACGAAACGGGCAGACGTCGCATTCGTGAAATTCTGCATCAACCTCCACGCTGTCAACTGCACTTCACTACTGGTCAGCACGGTAATTGCAAGGTGCATCCTCTGAGTGCATACGAAACGTTATTACTTGCTGCAGTAGAATATGCGACTCTCTACGGCGCACCGAGAAGACCAGTGCTCTCTTGCGGCATAACGAATGACAATACTTAACTAAACGTCGTGCCACCTGCTGTTACCATTGTCGTGAATTAGTTTTGAAAAATGCACAGATAGCAGAGGGCGCAGTGCCGTAGCAACGCGACGTGCATTAAGGTACCCACCTACATGAATGCAGCAATTTTCACGGTCGTGCCCTCAGTGGGTAGTGTGACTGATTCGCTAAGAGATCTTGAATAGTTAATGACGCTTGTTGTGGATTCGCATTAACTCTAGTATGTGGAAGTGACACGCCTGGGACCTATGCCAACCCCCTTGGCAACCAGGGGGGCAATCACCGCGTTTACTCTGGTTTACTCTCCGGTTGCAATATGCGATGCCCCCTTAAACGCAGTGCCGCTTCGTGTGTGTACATACACGCGTATGCATATACGTAGAGCGAGAGGAGGACGTGATTGCACATATAGGAGTAACTAACCCTGCGTTTACTGCTGGTTATTGAATATAAATCAAGCTTTGATAGGTAAGTCATCGGCCGGTACAGACAGTACAGTAAGTACTTCAATTAGCCTTTTATTAAATTCATACTACCTCACGACAATGTTATACGCGATCGGAGGCCGTATCATTATTATTATATGTCAAATGAGCGGGACGGGACATTAATTTGAATTAGAGTACTGTGGAGGGTGGATTCGTGGGGTGGACTTTGCCCAGTGTAATTTGTCCAACGAAAATGAAATTTTAATTAACAATATGCACTCCTGCCAACGTTGCTGTTATCGCTGCCATTACTGCCCTCTGGGATTATACGTATGTATACGTATACGGCAAGTATTCCTAATCGCTCTTGACGGGGTTTCACTATCTGGCTAAACACCTGCCACCACCCTCTCGTAAAGTCCTGCATAAGTAACTAGGTAATTAGTATTAGATGCTCGCTAAAGAGAATAAGGGATGTTGCACGGTATAATAATACAGAGTGGATACGTGCTTCGATAGTGCCTATGGGTTTTGGCGTACGCGTGAGCACGTTTTGCCAAAGACTATACGGGCTTACGGGTGAGCGGATAAGTGGCCGTTCGTCGACAGGGAGGGAGAATCTTGCTGAAAGAAGGGTACGTATGCCAGGGCCAATTATTTAAATCACATGCCCGCAGGAATTGCCAATGTATAATAGACGGAGTCGTATTATAGTCTACGCTGGAAAATTTTTTTTCCTTCGGCAAGTCATCACTTTTTCTCACGTGTTAAATGCAACACCCTGTATGTATGAGCGCTGTAGTTTATTCACATGCAGATCACGAGGTGAGACTAGGAAACGGTCTGAATTCAATTATTTCACTTGCCATTTTAATCAATGTGATAAGACTTTTTTATCGACCGCCAGTAAAAGCCTTACTCTCTTTCGTATCCGCTGGATAGTAATCTACAGGGTGTCCACGAAATATCCATATCTTTCTTATCTTTTTCTTCACCTTATTTTATCTCTCAAGTTCCTTTTGGCAGGACACGACAGGGTTTAACAGTCCTCCTACATCCTTCTCCCTTGGGCTGCTCGCCATGTTACAAGGTGACTGGCCTGCCTTACGGTTCGTGACTGGAAATGATTAATCAAAGGAAATGTTGACCCCCGGGGGCCTTCGGAACACCCACTTCGACTTCTCTTCGCGATACACAATATCGTTGCGCTGCCAACGTACATACTTGATTCGCCCTGAAGCTAAGGTCTATTACGATATTTGTTTCACGAGGGCATAATTGCATAGGTAGATTCCTAGGACATAGGCGAACGTAACGGGTGGTCTAGGAAACTATCGCTCCTCGACTGATATCTCTGTGACAAATAGGACGTATTCGTCATCGGTGCGATACGTCACACGCTATGGGTTTTCATCAGATGGCACCGGGACACGTGTATTAAATATTTATACCTAAAGGCGACGATCTCTGGACTTTCTCAAAGGATCTCTTACGAGAGATGATACATTTTTATCGCTTGCGATTAATAATTTTTTTTTTTATTACCGTCTCTCTTTGTCGTTCATGTTTTTTTTTTTTTTTTTAATAATAGTTACTCTAAGCAAAATTTTTATGGAATTTTCGGATAACAAGTTTTAATAAATTTTATTTCGTTGAACAATTCAGGAATCAAAATTTCAAGTCCATTTAGCACTTTGAATATTTTATAAAAATTTGATCTGATGTGATATTCGTGAAATTTTGAAAAAAATTTTTCATGTGATTTATTTTTCTACAGTGGCGCTGCTGGACGCGAGTCTCTAGTATTTCGCTATAGAGGGATTTGCATATAGTATAGATATAATATGATATACTTTAATGAAAATTAATAACAAGACTATATACCTATCCCAGCAAGGTGGTGCACTAATCTTATTACGTACTCTGACTCGACTTAGGAAATATTGGTTTAGTCACAGACTCCTCTGGTTGGATCGAGACTTTGAGAGCACCCTGTATACACCCTTTAAGAGCAGGAAGGGTAGTTCGTTGCACTAACGTCATTATGTCACTTCCTCGCTGGTTATTTCGAATAATCTGACAGGCTCGGGTCAGAAAGACCCTCTCAGACAGGGATTAGGCGTTTACTGGGTTTCTATAAATAATGCATTCTGAGTCTCTTCAAGTAAAGTGGATATCAATAGGCGTCGCGAAGTGCCCCCAAGTGGAAATGACGTGTTCTTGAGAGATCCAAAAATTATAATAGAAAAGAAAAATAAAGAAAAAAAATCAGAGTACTACTTGGTCCATGAGACGTTTTTTTTAACTAAATCAATACAAAAAAGGGATCGATCTAATTTTTATGTAACGATTAAATTTCTTGCGAGCATAATGTAAGTCAGTGATTGCAGGGGTCAAGGATGGAAACATACAGGGTGTCTTGAACGTTCGTGTCAGTTTTAACATTTAATGCACTAAGCATCAATACGATGAATATTGGACATGACTGTTGGATAAGATGGAGAAAGTCAGAACCACGTGACCCCCTGTCCACCTTCAGAATAATAGGATTGACCTCACCTTATAAAATGAACTCTCGCTCTTGCAGGTTTGGCAATTTTAGTTTTATTATTTTTTATAAAGAAAGAATTTATTTTTCTTCTGAGAAGTGATTATATATATATACATACATACAACATACGTATATGTACTCTTGAAATTCCTTGGAATTCCCCAATGATTCTTACGATTAAATCATAGGCGTTTATGTCCCAACCGTTGGAATGATTTAATGCGACATCACGTGTTAATCGACTAGGCACTTAAGTCGTTTGAATATCTTTCGACCACCCTATAGATACAGGCAGGCAGTGCTTCTAGGATGCACAGCCGTCTAAGAGATGCATCAATATTAATGGAAGCTGCGATGCGTTTAGGGCGGAATAATATATAGCGGGTGGGACAGAAGTCTATGATTATCCTATACCTAACAGATAAAGGTTATCGGTTTCATAACCATACGTCCCCATTATCGGTTACGACACATAATTTCAAATCTGCATAACATATCACCGCGTCATTACGTGACGGCATAAATCAATGACAAATGGTTACCTACGTATCCCATTACGTGCTCACCCGAACCCGAATTCTTCGAATTTACAATCATTTTCAATCACAGCTTGGATTTTACATTCGTATTATCATCTCTTTGAAATTTCTCGTTTTGGAATTACTCAACCCTTATCGCGTATTCCATTCTATCCGCTTCGGTATCAAGATAATGGGATTACGTGTTTCTATTATTTTCTCAAACTCCAACCCGACTAATGGAAAACAGCCGACGCGTTAAAATTGGCTAAACTAATTTACTATTACAGGAAAAAAAGATGGTTCGATATCCCCCGTTCTATGCAATATATACATATATATGTCTTGTGGAGAAAGGATCCTCTAAAGTACGTAATGGCTTAACGTCGTTAGGGCCTGTGGAAATACAATGAAAAAGCTCTTTAAAATGCATGGTTCTCATACGGATTGGAAGCTATGGGTAATTTCAATGAAGCAATAGATACGCTAACGCCAGAAGGGCGCGTGGGCTTTCGAGAATTTATCGCGAATTTTCAATTGGCCGTCTCCCTTGTAAAATTGCCTTTCCGTTCTCGTGGGCGGTGGAAAAGAGAGAAAGAGAATAAAATGAAGAAATTCAATTTTAATCACGCACCAAGAGTGGTTACCATGGCTTGCTTGGCAGCACGATCGAGCGAACGAGACTGTACACACAGGAAGTGGCATTATTAGCTTTCGATTCGAAGCAATCACGACGCTTCCTTATTAAGCCCTGCGGCACCCTTAACTAAGTTTCCCCATACGGGAGGAACCCCAACTCCAACGAGATCTCATCGTTCTTGCGTTTTCTATATATCGTCGTGGTGCGAATAAATATCGGAAGTGTACACGCTTTGATATTTGCACACGACTTTTGCATATATTCGTACAGTGCAAAATATGTTTTTTTTTTTTTTTTTTTTTTTTTTTTTTTTTTTTTTTTTTTTTTTTTTTTTTTTTTTTTTTTTTTTTTTCCATATTTATTTGCATTACTGTTACCGTGTCTTGGTTTGTATTTTTGCGACTGTCTATGCTCAAAGTCCGGATGGCATTCATATTGCCAAATGAAACGGTATTCGTGCGATTTCTGCGATTCCCTCGTACCACCCGCCCTTTTACGTATAGCGAGACTATCAATTTGAATTCCGCAAATCGTGTGGAGCCAATATTCGATATCGGCTCGCTCGTACTTTCCGCGCTGTGGATTCCACGATAAACTAATTATCCCTAGGGACACTTCGACTGGCTTCCGAGTGCTTTTTAAAGGATCCTCGTTCGTGGAGTCGAAACGAAAAGGTTTTTACGTATTTCTTTTTCTTTTTTTTATGCTACATTTCCTTTCCGGCTTTGCAGCCACAGAAAGAATTACAAGGTACGGCGAATTAAAATTGATTTCGCATGGCGATCCATTTCCATGTTCGCCAATTTATTACGCTCTAGGGAATTTAATTTCCAATTAATGCCAATTATAGAACGAGTAAAAAATTTCTGTTACATTAATTACTAAATAACCAATAGTACTCCGTGTTGAATATATGAAAATGTATGAAAACATAAATCTGGCAAATTTCAACAAAAAAAAATTATCAAAGAATAATACATACCCGTTAGTAGTAGCGTCGAAGACGTCATTGTAATCTTCATCGGTGCTGTAATCTTGTACACCAGGATCGAGATCTTCGACTTCTGCAAATCCTCCTGTAAATAAAAAAAAAAGACTTTTATAATTTTGAAAAAAAATAAAATCATAATTTAGTAAGTATCCTGAATTGACAAATACTACAGTCTCTTCGGCGAGACTTCAATATGCTTTCCTCGAGAAATTAAACCATTCGAACATGAACAAACGAGATTACGAGGCGGCTCGTAGGTATTGTGCAACGATGCAGCGATATGCAATCCGAGTATGCATTGTGAGATTGAGAAAGGGTTGGGCTGAATCGCGTGAGAGCATAACGCATCAGGAACCTCCAGGGGAAGTGAAAAAAAAAAAAAAAAAAAAAAAAAAAAAAAAAAAAAAAAAAAAAAAAAAAAAAAAAAAAAAAAAAAAAAAATTATAAAGAATGAAATGGTTTCGGTGGTAGGTATTTGTTTCGGGATTTGAATCACGCCCGAGTAGGCGTCTACATTTGGCACGTATTGTACTCAGTATCGCCCACACGTAATTCTCGTCTTAAGTTTCCCCCGAGACATATTACATATAGTTTTCATTCAATGCCCAAGAAATTAATCGTACACACGATATATATATATATATATATATCTCGGAGTAGCTATTCAGAACGAATAACTAATTCTCGTAAGAAAGAAAAAAAATCCTATTTCAAAATTTCACCATACAATTTTGTACTGAAAAATTGAACTTTTTAGGTATCTGAAAAATTCTTTTAGTCATTTGCATCGCTTAATTTTAAATTCTAATTAAAGTTGGCACTGGCCTCGGTTAGCTAGCATGGTAATAAGTAATTTAGCCTGGCAGGTTGAATATCGTAAAGCGAGCTAGTCAGAGCGGGCGAGATATGGATAGAAATGAGTGAAAGAAAGGAAGGAAGAAGGCAAGAGAATTTCTGGCGGATGTTGAACAGTGCCGTAACTAGGCAAGGGGCCAGTAAACTCACGGCGGGCGTAAGTCGTTTGGTCTATGTAAAAAAGCTTCTGAACTCTATAGCAGAAGGGAGTTGGTGCTGTCAGCTGCCAAGAAAGGGATCAAAACTTTCTAAGCCGTGATCACTTTCGGCTTCAGACTTCTATATGTACTTTGGACTCTTTAATATTCATTTGATTCCATAGTAAATCCGTGTAATACTTCTACTTTGTGAGGCGGATATTTTCTTATCAACCTTCGTACGATACATATACACATACAAATTTATACTTTACAAAGTGGTTAAGCAAAAAACTAGTTTTACCAATAGTTTAAGGGCTCCCAAGTATATATACGGCCCTGATCGAATTTTACAGCTGCCTTCATCAACGTACCAAAGTTAACTTTGCCAACTGGCAACTGACTATCCCTCTTATATATAGTAGATATATGTACCGGGTCGTGCAATATCCCGCGACAGTGGCGCCACTAGTTTTATAATATCCGCTCTTGTTATTATCGCGGGTAATTACAGGAGCAGGACTCTCCTAATTCGAAAGTAGTCCTGGTGTTACGCTGAGTGGTTAATCCTGTTTTTGGCTATGACTGTGCTCGAGTTCCCGGGGGGCTCGTAACCGCGAAATTTATGAATAAAATCGCGGGTTCGCGTACACGGAGAATTATCGTCGTCGTTCGCGAAATGAAAACAAAATGTTAGCTCTGGCTGGTAAAGTCATGGGAAAGCCCGAGAAAATTTAGGGGACGAAGAAGCCGAGGGATGGTAGTCGTGGTCTGCGAAGTGTTAATCTCAAAAAGCTTGCTGGAAGGGGATTTTATGCAAATAAAAAAACCACTCTTAAAACATTGCTTTTTTCGCTCGTGCATAAACAGGGTGACTTTTTTTCTCTTTATCTTCTCTCCGTATCAAGTATACCTGCCCATCGAAAGGGAGATGTGCGATTTAATTCGCCGGTAAAAATTTACTACAACCAACTGGATTTATCGAGTCGAAATTCGTTGCAGCGGAAGATTCTAGCTGATTGAAGATTTTTTTGTGAAAAGGTCTACGAGTACAAGAAATTTTAGAGAAATTCGGTGAAATAAAAGAGTGGGTCCAGCAAAGTGTAGGTCGAGTCAAGGATAAAGGATTATAAGAGTGGAACAAAACTAAAACTGTACAATGGCGGATTCTCATGGGAGGCCGAATCTCGGTGAGGTATAACCTAGCGAGAATATTATTAACGACCATCGTATTTCTCAGGACGAAACGTGCGCGTGTAGGGTTGGTAGTATTATATATACGCAGAAATGCACGAATCTGCTGTAAATAATATCGGAGCGGGTAAAAGCGCTATGAGGCAAACGCGATTCGCGTTTTCTGCTATGGGCCATTCGCGACAAATGTTACCCCGGATACGTTACCTCGTAAAACTTGACACCCTGTCGACCGGGGGAGTTGAGGGATATGAATACGCCTATACCTACCTACCAATAACCTACGCCTATTAGCATGATCATTCGGTTATAAAAGTTGAATGATTCTAGGGAAAAGCCTGTTTTACTGAAATTTTGGATAAATTTTAGGTATCTGAAAATATCAAACGTAAAAGTCAGATTTGACAGCTGTCATATGCGATAGCCTTTGATCCATTTGGAAAAAAATTATTTCGAAGAGAAAATTTGAGAATGATTTTTTGTTTTGTAAAAAAAAAAATATACACAATTTACTATGCATACGCAAATTTTGTATGCTCCTCGATAAATTATCGGATACATAGAAACAACGACAGTTCGAAAACTTGAAACGTTAAGGATCGAGTCATAACAAGTCATAACAATTTGTTATGGTCTTTTTAAGTATTGTAGTTGAACAATGGCGCATTCTTCGTGCCAGTCATGCGTTAACGACCGAGCCATTCAACATTGACATGCACGATTTCGATGCTGACATCATAATTTTTATCAGCCATCATAAAAGATCTTCAGAGTACAGTATCGAGCGTCCGAGTGTCTTTATTAAAAATAATTTGAAGTTTTTTTTTTATTGTATATGCGAACTCTTGAAATTGCCAATTTAACGTGATAAAATTAATGGCCTCAATCTTTCGCATAGGTACGAAGTGCGTCGGGGGTTACGAGTTCACGAGGGCGTTAAAACGACTGTGAACTCGGGTTCACGAACTCGCAAAGCTGTCTAAACAAAATTTCAAACTCCTTCCAGTCGGCTGACACAAAACAAAGCCTAAGCCCCACGTGTCAGAAACACGTATGGATGACGCCGTAACGTCGGCAGTAAAATATTGTGAAAGATCATTAAGTACAGTTTATGAAAAATGCTTAATTAACAAATAAAAAATTTCTGATCGAAACGAACAGTCCAAAAAATATGGTATGATATATCGTATACTTGGTGTTTTGTCGATTATATTTTTTGAAAAAAAAAATAGACCCAATATGGTTCTGCTTACGGAGGAAATACGAGAAACTACTGTTTCTTCTTTATGTCGCAGACATATATATATATTTTTTTTTTCATAAAAATACTACACTCTTTGAGAAGCAGCATGACAACAATCGTGAATAGAAAAACGTGAAAGGGAGGTCTCGAGTTGCTCGTAAAAAACATATGGGAGTTTTCATGGCGGCTGTACCGTAACTAACCGTATGACGGATCGAGATTATTTAAAACACAGCCTTTAGGCCGCACCGCTATGGTCCCATGGTATTACCATATTAAATACGTTCTGACGTGTTACGTGTGCTGAGTATGAGAGAGTCCCCGAGGGCCTTGTAACGATCCAATTGAAATATTTGGAATTCTGTCTTTTTCTTTTACAAAGGTGCAATTAAGCGATAAAACGATAAATTTAACCATGAACATAGGAACGCGATAGCAATTGTGAATCTGAGTTGGATCCGTGCCGGTAAAGATTTATCGTCCGCCATAAATATTCCGCTCCAGTTAACCTGGTAATAACACAGATAACTCAGATTGTCGTGTAATCCTCGATACAGTAGGACGGGTCTTCTCTTTTACCCAGAAGAGAATGACAATTCCATTTCGACCCACGAGCACTGAAGTTAGCCTAGAAATTTCTGAGGTATCCATTGAAAATTTGTACGATAGTTCGAAAACTTTCCGCTTCGATCGCAGGGAATGCCGGGTAAGAACCGAGTGGTGGCTCTGCTATCGGGGAAGCCGCAACAGTGGTCTGATTCGAAGTTTAGCAGGATGTGTATCACAAGCACTTTAAACTCGGTTTCTCTATGGAGGTTTCGACCCTTTAGTCGAAGGGTTTGCTGTGGGCAGCAATAGTAGCAGCTTCGCGGTTCTTCACCAACTTTAGCCTATCGTACCACTTCTTAATCGTGAAGGCATAGCAGTACGTACCTACGTCTCTTTGAGACCTTAGCACATACTATACTATCTTCAATCTTTCTATAGTATACACAAGCTTCGCTCGTGTAATATCAAGCATATCGTATACGTTGGTACTCGGCACGGCAGCCAAGCAGGGACAAAATTTGCCGCCTTGCAAAACGTGGACTAGTCGCCACATTAAATTTTCATTTCGCGTCTAAAGTACCCGCAACGATTACACGGCTGATGCACCCGAGGGCTGGTCGACGCATGTGGTTTTTCGAAAAATTTAATTTCGCCAAATTAAAACGCTCCTACATTTTTGCTTTCTATATCTTTCTCCCTGTCTCCGGACTTTTATCCACCCCGCCGCACTTTTTCAAAGTCAAACATACGTATACGTACCTTTTTGATTCGCGTATAAAATGTCGCATTAATTTCCCAGTTGAATGATATCTGTATTATTAAATTCGGATTTACTCCTATGGGATACATACGCTATAGGAGACATTGTCGATATCAAATAACAGAGGTCGAATAGATAAATTGAATTTTATCTTTCACTGGTTCTTAATGCATCTGGCAGTCTCTTTTATTCCAGTAACAAGAGTATATTTACTATATGTGACGTTCAATTTGCAGTATGGCTTTTTTCCCCGATATTCTTCGTTTAACCGGTGGGGTGCGTCGATCTAGCAAATATTGGCTTTCTTAATCGGCAGCGAATATAACGAAACGGCACGATTCTATTTT